TGTGCTGGGAACGTGTGCTATTTGGTGTTTGCATACAAAGAGCAGTCCCTAATCCCATGGATTTACAATTTACATGGGATATTAAAAAGAAACATTTTGACCACAGAGAAAAAAAACCCTGCAGATGAGGAGTTGGTCTGGCAGTACTGCAGAAGCTTAGGGCAGATACAGCACCTGAACACCAATCCCTCAGGTCTCTGCCAAGGACAGCCCACACCTGCCATCCAAAGAATAAGGGGATTTAAAGTTTGCTGGATCCAAAAGGTAACAGGTCACCCTTGGAACAAAATCACTTCAGTGCCCTCTAGAGCAGATCCCTGTATTGACCTCACTGGAAGGAGCATCAATCACAAAATGTTATTTATGCCACCAGCCAAAAGTTCCATTCCCTTTACAAAATCCATTTTGTAAGTTCATTTACAAAATTCCTCTTTGCAAAATCATATTGAAAACTATATTTTCCTGAAGGGGAATTATCCAGTTATCGTGATAAACTCCAATTCCACTTCTTCTTTCAACACTACTTCCCCTCCTGCCTTTTTCTCTCAACTGTGTGCCCTGAGCTTGCCTCTCAGGTGACACTCTGTGGTGAGATCATCCCTCCCAGACACAGGAACACACATTCTCCAGCCCTGATGAAGCATTCCTGGGTAAGAACATGGAATTTCTGAAATCCAAAAAGTAGCAAATGCCAAAAACATTTGGGGTATTTGAGAGAGAATAGGGATGGTACTGGCAGTAGGAAGCAGTAGTCATAGATAGAGTGATGGAGTGGGACCTGAGCAGCCCCCAAAGCAAAAAGAAAACAGGAGTTTGCACAGAAAACCCTGTATATTTGTACTTCACTTAATAATATTTTGAAAAACACTTCACCTTGAGGGGGAGCACGACTGACTCACTCAGAGCTGTTTACTGGCCATGGTAGAAGTCCACAGTGCCTTCCCCAAATCCATGGGCATGCCTGGGATCTCAGTTGCTCTCTTGATCACCATTAGGTGATGGAAGGACACAGAAAAATTCCTTGGCCTCCTTCCCACCTTTTGCACAAAATAGGAAAGCCCTGAACACAAGAAAAGGCAAAAAGGCTGGAAAGTGCATTTCATCACATGGCAACCTGAGTTATTGGCACAGTGCAGTTGTCCCCAGATGTTGGAGTCCCATTTATTCTGCACTGACTGAGTGATGTGTGAAAGCAAGATGCTTAGAAAGGCACCTGCACTCAGTTCAGACACAGGATTTGATCTGACCTCTTGGAACCAGCACCTACAGAAAACCAATGTCAGGAAAAGCCTGGAAGAACCAAGGGTTGTTACGGGGGACCAGCAATGCTGTCCCTCAAGATTGGCCAAGAGCACAGCTTCTCAGCACTGTACCACCTGCCAGATTCCTCTCTTTGGAGCAAGGACAGAAGTCTGGCAAGCCTTGAGCCAGATTCAGGAAAAGACTTTGTGGCAAACTTAGTACAACAGATCATAACAGAACAGTAGAACAAAGTGACCTCCAGGGAGACCACTGGTCTGGTGCTGCCCTGCTTCAGATCTCCAGAAAAGAAGGATGGCTTTATTTGTCCAAGAACTGCAAGGGTCAGTGGAAGATGCTGAGAAGAGCATCTGTTCCTTTAAAGGTATTTGCTCAAGTGCCTTTTCCATGCAAAAAAGGCTAAGAATAAAGTGGGAAAGCCATAAACTAGAACATGCAGAGAAGAAAAGCTGAATGACAGACAATAAGGGAGGGAGTGGTAAGATCCAAACATGGTCCATTACTCTAACTGATGAAGGAATGTGGAATGAGGGAATGTTTCTTTAATCCCACAGAGGTTGTCCAATGGGATACAGGGGGGGAAAAAAGAGAAATCCATACTCAAAATATACAGAGGTTCAAACTTGCAGCAAATGCAATGGAAACTAAGATAAGAAAAACATCCCCTTGTCAGTTGCACCAATTGATGGTCTCAAGAAACTGCCTGGGAATTGGGGCTTTGCAGCTGACAAGATGAAAACCTGAGATTCTGGATGTTGGAGAGGGGCCTGTGGATCCTGCCAGCTCAGGAGGGGAAAGAACAAAGGAGTAAGGGCAGAAAAGGGTATAAACAGGGCCCTTTGCATGTGAAACCGGGCCAGTCAAGCCCTTGTCTTGCTAAGCCCTGCTGGTGGTCACTGCAGTCCCTACTTCCTTAATGATTTCATAACCACCTGGGCAGGGGTGCTGGGCAGACAGCTGTTCAGGTGCTCAGGGGGTCTGCAAATGTGTGTGTGCTTGTGAGCCCAGAGAGTGTCACGTGCCTGCACTAGTGACCTCCTGTCTCTGCAGGCTCAGCAGAGAGGGCTGGTGAAGAACCACCAGGTTGCTGTGGCCCAGAGCCCTCTCAAAGGTGTGTGAAGCACCACAAGTTTGCCAAGAGCAGCCAAACCACCATTCCTACTCGTTCCTTCCACAAGAACATTTCAGCTGCCACTTCAGGGTCACTGGAGCCTCATGCTGGGCACCCACAAAGTGAGACCTGGGAATCATTCCAGGACCTGGCCAGCAGGGCTTCTTCACTGACAGATGCAAGACCCAACACAGCAGTCCTGGCTTTACAGTCTGGATACACAACCTGGTCAAGTACAGCCTGGCTTTAGCTTCCCTAAGTGTGCACCACCCCTTGTCCATGCGTGGCTTTGCACAAACCCTCTGAACACCAACCAAGTCCTGCAGGTAACGTGACCCTAACTCCAGAGCAGCTCAAGAAGGGCCTGGTGAACAAGAAGACTAGCAGTGAAGCTGGTAACTCTCACACTATTTCCAAACAGGACAAACTCCCAGAGAGCTGACCTCAATGTTGGGTATGACATGTTCCACTCAGCAGCCCAAGCATTTGAGGAGTGCTCCTTCCCTCCTCGTGCAGCACACGAGCTTTGCACACTTTCCTTAGTGCAAGAATGGCTTCCAGGCATGAGAAGCAACTACCAAAGCTCTGGCAGTTCTTCTTGTACAGAGACACAGCCAGAGGAACCCAGGGCTACAGCCACAACACAACCCCCCTGCCCTGCTAACAGCCCCCACAGTGATGGCTGAGAGAGCCTTGTCCCTAATAACCTTGTGTTGATTAAAACAAAGCAAACACACCCACACCCCCCACCACACCAGTTATACTGAGTACGAACAGCAACTGTGCACTGGGAGACTTATTTCTTAACAACCCAATTCCTTTCATTTCATGTGATTGGTGCTTGGTGTAAAGATGTTTTTAAAGCTGTAACTCAAGAGGAAAGTTCCAAGGAGGGAAACAGATTTTGGCCTGGACCTCTGCAACATGGTTACTGGCTGAGTTTTACTTTACTTGTTGATTTGTATAGTAAGTTAACACCAGAAAAGTGACTATGGACAGAACTGTACAGAGAAAAGGAAACAAGAGCATCAAATTATTCGTTCAAAACACGACAGGATTTCAAGTTTGTGTCTCTGCATTTGTAAAGAACTGATAAGGGTGAACATGCTGCAAGCTGAAAAAAGTTATCAAGGGTGCAAATGAACCCTGAAAACCTTGGACTTGTTTCTGAATATCAGTTTTGAAGAGGTGCATGGACAGCACAGTGTTCACTGGATATTTGTGAGAGAGGCTTGTGAAACCCACAAGTGCTCCAAGCAGCACAGCAGTGGTTCAGCCTTCAGAAGCTGTGGCACAGCTGCAGCCACCCCTCCAGGCAGACACAGCTCACTTCCCATCACATCTCCAAGCCACCAGATACACAGAAAGACATTTTTAAAGCACAGACTAGCACAAAGCAAAACCTTCCCAAGCTGAAACATTTTGAGAGTAATAACAATTAGATAAACACCAGAATAATCTTGGAAATACAAAACTATTACTATGACTTCCACTTGAAGGAGCATATTCCAAGGAAAACTTCAGCCTGGAAGTGGCTAACAAAAAAAAAAAGTAACTAGTTCTAAAGAGACTTTAAT